ACACATATATAGACAAGACACGTATATAAATTCCTTAGTAAAAATATGGAACAGGCGTCGAAGATAACACTAAATAATAGTAAGAGGAAAAAAATAAGTAAAATCATTGCTCAACGGAAATCATCTTCCAGGAATTCATCACAACTATAGTAACATTTTTGCAGCAGCAATTGCTTTACTCTACCATGAAACACTTTATCAGAGGTAATTTGTTTGATCTGCTCTGGTAATTTATTATACAGATTTATGGCATTATACAAAGGGGACTTTTTATATTTCGTTGACTTATGACTTGGAATACGCAAAACATCACCATGACGTGTGTTGTAACTGTGCACCGTTGCGTTTGTTTCTAGTTCATGGATGTTAGATCTAGCAAATCCTATACATTTAAGAATGTATATGGAGGGAGCCGGTAATAATTTTTCCCTAACGAATACTGGTTTACAGCTGTCTCGGTGTTCAATGCTGAAAATTAGTCTAACAATGCGCTTTTGTGCTACGAATACTCTGATGAATTCATTACTGCAACCCCATGCTATGATATTGAGGGATATATGTGAATATGCCATAGCAAAATAGATTTCTAGTAGACCTGCTGTGTCCATGCATGATTTCATTTGCCTTAAAGCAAAGAATGTCTTGTTTAATTTGTTGCAGACATCTTTTATTTGCAGATCCCATGATAAGCTTTCATCCAAGTAAGTTCCTAAAAATTTTACTTCGCTACTAATCTTTATTTCGTCAATAGTTTGTAGGTCATCTGGAACATCTGGCAACTCTAGGCTAAACACTAAATTTCAGATTTACAATTAACTACTTTGAGAAAAATAATTTGGATGACAGATGCTAAAGACCGAACACTCTATATCTTCGACACAGGAGAGGTAGATCTGCAAGCTTATGAAGAAAACCTTGTCATCTTGGCAAGGACAATGTCAGAAAGGTTAGCCTGCGGTATCCTCCAATGAATGTTGGACTATGTTCATAGTTGATGCCAGAAAGAAACAGATGTCTGTGAACCCCTGCAAAACAATGATAGTCACCAGGAGAAGGAACCTTAAGAAACCAGCTCCACTTTCTTTCATTTGCAGAGAAAGTGGATTGCTCATTAGAAAAATGTTTTTCACAAAGCCACATTATCCCTATGGACGGCTAGAAGGATCTATGAAAAATCTTTTGGTTTAAGGTCCGAACAAATCCACTGGATATTATGTGATATTTCCAGATTAGTGATCACGTACGGAGTAAATGCTTGGTGGCTGAAACCTTTGCAAGCAATCGATACCTCTCCACATCTTCCTAAAGAGAGGCTAGATGATGACACACAGAATTGTGCATATTATCAATTGTACAATTCTTGTACACATAAGATCAATATGATCAGTTCAGCAAACAGAACTCTCTCATGAGACTTTCGCATACGATAGCATTCTCGGCCGTCCAAGGATGACATTAAGCATAGGTCATACTCATGTGACTTCTATTGAATGTAATTTAAATTTGGGTTCCAATGAAAATGGAAACTCCTATTATACCTCTTATCTGAAATATCTCACATAAATTACGTAGTAGTACAAGGTTCAATACTAGGTTGCACCCTATTTCTTATTTACAACAACTATCATTGATATAGAGGATTAATTCACTTACTTGGCAGATGACACCACAATGTTATGATATAAAAGCAATACTACAGAACTTCATTGAAGTGTGGATGTAATTCCCTTTGCTTCAAATGCTAATTTAATTGAGAATACATAAAGCAAACAATTTCTTGGTATATTCATTGAAAAAAAAACTCAAATTTGAAGACCACATTCTCTTGCTGAATAAAAAACTTTCGACTGGATGTTATACAGTGAAAATAACATATAACAAAGTAAAATTACATTCAGCTGAAGCATGTATCATTTATTGGTAAAGTCTTAATTGAGAATGGGATTCATTCCTGAGGAGTCCTTCAACAAAGGGCATTAAGGACCAAGGGATTCTCATAGTCATCTTTTTGTGTCAATTTTCATATTAGAAACAGTTTATTGAATAAATATGCATGAATCTTAAATTCCCTCAACTGCCTCTAACTGTGTCAGACGTCAGAAGATCGATTATGGCAAATTTTAGTATTATAATTTTGTTTTATATTTACAATTTGTTTATGCATTTTGTATCATCACAGTGTTTTTCTTTGCACAATAAAGCATCTTAATTATTGTTATTTTTATTATTCATTTACTCTTAAACTCACCTTTCACACAGCTGACCTAACAAATCCATTGCCAATTCATAATCTTTAATGACCAAGCCGCAATTGATGATTGAGTGCATGATCCTGGTCTCTCTTCCACTCCACAAACGTAAAGAATCACTCCGATCCGAATCGCTTAGTTCCATGGGGTTTCCGTCTTCACACAACCCATTTTTCAAATTCTTCAATATCTGGCGAACAGTCGCCAGCATGCTGAACAGTTTCGTGATAGATTCCTTAGGTTTTCCGCAATGCATGGGCAACTCAGAGAGCAGAAGCCGAAATGAGAAAGATGCGATAGACCCCGAACGACCGCCGTACATTTCGGGATAAAACTGAAAAAAAAATTTTTTAATAAATCATATACTCCTTATACATCAGGAGTATGTACAAGCAACAATTGAAAATTAAACAACTAACAAGAAATGAAAAATTAAAAAAAAAACTGAAAATCAAAAGATTTCAAGCCAAGTTACTTCACAACTTTTCGATTATTAGTATCAACAATTGTCTTTGTGTGATGACTGGACTTATTCCTCCGAGAAATGACTATTTATAGGTCATTCGAGTGCTTTCACCTACCCCCTCTTCTCTCTCTCGCTGACCGTCGGCTGACCTATAAATAATCATCTTTCGAAGGAATAAGTCTTGTCATCACCTGAAGAGGATTGTGGATAATAATAATATTAATATATTTCAGAGTATGCTCTACATTTCATAAAGAAAACATCAAACATAAAATGAAACAACGTCACACAATTTCTACATAAAGTTTCATAACTTATCTAAATATTCCTGAAGTGAATAAGGTTCTAACTTGATCAAATACTCTTTTGAGACCTTTTTTGATATTTTTTAGGCTCTCTAACATTTTAAGTCTCTGTGGTAATTTATTGAAAAACCATAGAGACGCATAGGATGGATGCCTCTCTGACACTGTCAATTTGTGAATCGGAAAAGATATATTCATATTACACTTAGGATAATTAAGACTTGGTCTTGCTTCCAAAAATCTACTTTTATTTTTGAATAGGTATACTACACTCTCACAGATATAGATCGCATTTATTGTCAAGATATTATTTGCCTTGAAGATTCCCCGTCATGACTGACGAAAGTTCAGTTTGAAAATAACTCTCATAATTCTTTTTGGGATAAGGAATATATCAGAGGTATTACTGCTGCTTCCCCAGAATATTATACAGAATTTAAGTGAAGATTCGAAATTCGCAGAATATATAATTTTAGTAATTTTTCATTGAGGTAGGAGCCAATAACTCTAACACTGTAACATATTTGATTCAATTTTTTCCCAGATCTGTAATATGCTTATACCAATGCAAATGGTCGTTAACATATATACCAAGAAGTTTTGTTGACTTCTGAACTGCAAATTCATTGTTTGACAGATTAATTGTACTTGGTGTTTCAATTCTTTGCTGTGCTTTTCTAAATAAAATAACATTTGTTTTCTCAACATTCAGAATCAAATTGTTCTTACCAGTGGTTTGCTCTGTCTAACAGGTTACTCGACTCTATAATTAAGTTTGGATAGTTGTGACTTGACACTAACAGATTTGTATCATCAGCATAATTGGTGTTTTGAGAAGTTTTACTGTCATTATTTAGGATTTCTAAAATATCGTTCATGAGAATAATAAAAAGCATGGGACCGGTTACACTTCCCTGTGCATTTGATGCGTGACGACTCTTATGGCATATTATTCGAAATTTAGGAAAAGCTCCGGAAAAAATTTAGTGTTGAATAGAAAACTAACAACCCATTTTTTGATAATACAGAAAAGTTTTGGTACACTCCTTATGTGGTTTTGTAACATAGGAAACATTTCTCATACTCACAATTGGGACATTCCTTATAGTATAAAAATGAAACAATAGGGTAGATAAATGGAATGGAAAATGCAGAATTTTACAGGTACACTATTTCAGAATATATTTTGCCTAGAAATACTTTCACAAACAATATACATGTTAAAACAAGTGTGTGAGAGCACATTTTTATGTGATAACAAAATAAAATATACTACCTAACAAGATAAATAAATATACCACCATCAAACAGAATTAAACCCATGGCTGTTCAATAGTTACTAACAAAATAAAGAAAAAGGAAGTACCTGGTAGTATAAATCAGGCCTATCGATTTGGCCAAAGGGCTCTGCCTCAGCACTAGCAATATTGAATAATTTACTCTTGACTAGAAGGGCAATACGAGTAAACCAAAGCTGCAGAGAGTGTGGGGAGTGTTTGCTGGGATGCCCCGCTCTTCCTCTACCTTGACCATATATGGTTAACAGCCTAGCTGTTAGGTTGATGGCAGCCCTGTAAGCTCCAGCCTGCACCAACTCCCTAAGACCTCTTTCATCTTGAGTTACATCTCCTGCACTTAGGACTCTTCTTTGAGCGGCCTCGGCTTCTCCAAGACAGCTTGTTACTGCTTCTCCTACGGCATCACCCTGCAAGATTTGAACAATCATTAACACTGCTAAAAATGCAACGAATATATGAAATTTTAAACAAAAATGATATCAGATATCTTAGTGTCACTTATTCTACATTCTTAAGAACGATAGGACACTATTTCTAATATCAAATTTGGCGAAAAATGTATACGAAAAAAATACTAAAATCTTGGAAACAACTATCTGTTCCATCCAGTAGCGGTTTTGGTGTTTATGGTCTGGAGTGTCTATTATTCGTTCATGAACTCGGAAGGAGAATAGGTTAAGTAACGAAAGATTACCGTTCTACCTCTATTTTGATAGAAAGAATTAGTATTGCTATTCAACGTGGTATATTCATCAGTCTCCTATCAAGGTTAATCCGCAAGTAATTCATCCACCTTCTTCTTTTTTAGTGCAGTCAATGGACTGAAGTCATTCTTGCCCCCCAAATATGAGCTGCAGTCCTCGTGGTTCTAATTACCTTTCAGTGGAAGAGCTTTATGAGGCAAGAGCCGAATCGATCCCTCTACAAAACCCTTCATTACTTGGAAAGATCGATTGCAGCTTGAGAAATGGTTCTGATATATGCTCTTCCTTATAAATCAGTAGACAGTTGTTCTGAAAATCTTGGGAAGAAAACTGGATTAGATAATTTAGGAAACACTTGCTACATGAATAGCATTTTTCAAGTGTTGTTCATGACAAAGAATTTCAAGAAAGAGGTTTTTAGGATGAACGAGAATATTTCCTACTACAAACTCAAACAATTGTTCATGTAGTTGCAGTTTCGTAAGAATGTATCATCTCTTCCACCAAGCGATTTCCTGGATGCTTTGAAGTCCACTATGATTTTTGTATATAAAATATTGAATAACCTGGCTCCTGTTTACTTTCATACATTTATAATATTGAATAGAGACATTCACACTTATAATACTCGGGGTAAAAATGACATTCACATTAGCAGCACTGCTTATCGCAGTACTATGAACTCTTTATTTTTCAAAGGTTTCCAAGAATTTAATAAACTACCAGACTTCATTAAAACATCATCATCGTTGAATTTGTTTAAAAAACAATTGAAAGAACTTATTAAGATGAAATAGATTTTAGGGTTACCTATTTTTAAATAAAGATCTATCTATCTATAGTTCATTCCTCATTACAGTTCTACTTTTATTGATCTCTATAAAAGTTGTTATTTTATTGAAGTATTTATTACCCAAGTATTTTTGGGAATTCCGACTCACACTCAAGCGAGAGTAAGGGAGTTATAAAGTATGTTCACCCCGAATAGTGTAATTATATATAACAAAGTTTTTTTGGTATAGGTGTTTATTATCATATGAACGAATGACTCTTTTCTGAACCTTAAAAATGCAGTCAGTTTACGTAGAGTTACCCCAGAAGATCAATCCATACTGTAGCCTTGATTGTACCAGTCCATGATACACGAGTTTTATAACTTCTGTAGAGAATTGAGTAGTTTGCACTGCCAACCTTTACACATAAACTGTCGATATGTGCCTCCCATGTTAGCTACCTGACAGTATTCCAAAGTTTCACCACACATATTGATGTTGTTCATTAGATCTGGGTTTGAGGTACCATTTTTGGGTAAGAAATTGATAAACTTGGTTTTTTTATATGGCAGACAAGGTCATTGTCGCTACAGTATTTACTGAATTCATCACATGCATAATTACCCAAGTTTACCAGACTTTCCAAGTTTTTATGGGCTAGGAGTATATTTGTGACATCAGCGTAAAGTACCATTCTATTTGGTGTGGTACACGTATCGTAGATGTCATCTGAAAATATAAAAAAAGAGTTGGTCCCAATATAGACCCCTGGGGCACTTCTAACTCAGCACTCTTACAGTCAGATTTGCTATTATTTATAACTGTCACTTGCGTACAATTTGTCAAATATGATACTATCCAATCGTGTCGTAAACCACGAATTCCTGTGTTGAATAATTTACGAAAGAGTAAGTCGTGTTCAACCATATCAAATGCACGAGTTAAATCATAGAATATACCTAGTATATTCTTCTTGTTGTTAAGCTGTTCATAGATAAAATCCAGAGCTTGCTCAATAGCCCTAGAAGTCGATTTAGCTTTCCTGAATCCATTTTGGTTATTAGAGATGATGTTGTAATGTTCAAGGTAGGAGATCAGTAGGAACACAATTACAGGATGAATTACTGATTGGTTAGTTGGCAGTTTTTTCGAACTGTTACAAGAAGAATTCAATATTTTTTTCAAATACATAATTCAAATTTTTTTTTTATTTGGTTCATAACAAAGCTACAGCTTTAGAACATGTCACAAAATACCATCAAATTAACATATGCCAAAAGTAAAATATAAAATCTTCAGAAGATACAATGCAACAAAAATAATAATAGTAATACATTACATACATACAATCGTGAAAGGCATCTTTGCTCTATGGTCCAAGAAGTGAATGGAAAAAGTCATTAATACCATATAGGGGATTTTCCGTAAGTAATGTCTTTAAATGTTTTTTGAATTTACTATAGTTCAGAGAACGTACTGTAAGAGGTAGGGCAGTGTACATTTCAATATCAATAGTATCGTCCATTCTTTGTAACCGGGTTTGAGGTATAATCAAATTATCTTTATGTCTAGTATTGTGACCGTGTATATCGAACACAACAGAGTAACTATTAATGTTTTGTTTGACATATAGTAACTTTACAAAAATTATCAGAGAGTGAAGTGTCTTTATTCTCAACGTTTTAAAGATTGGTTTGCAGGAGTCTTCAAAATTAGCTCCTATGATACATCTTATAGCCCGCTTCTGAATGACGAATATAGCATTTAAATGAAACTGAGCTGCCGAGCTCCAGACAGACAAGCCATATCTAATAATGGATTCGAACAGTGCATAATAAGTAGTTATTGCAGCGTATTGGTTTATAAGTTGTTTAACTTTTCTTATAGCAAATACTGCACTATTTAGTCTATTGCAAATTGTATATATATGTATGTTCGATAATAGGCTGACATCTATATCTAGACCCAGAAATTTAGTGTGCAGCATGTCTAGGTCGTTTTCTACATTGTAGAATAGTCTGGATTCGAAAATGATTTTCAGCGCTGATTCCTTGAATATATAAATTGTATGGTATGATTTTTGTTGATTAAATTCATCAGTTACTTTTATGAGGTCTGTTCAAATTTTGTGGGCTACATACATTCATTTAGCTATTTTTTTATGTTGGTACACGTGTCTCAAACATATGTTCACAGTTTCAGCTGTTTGACATGTTTGGCTTTTTTGGTGAGAGGCATAAAAGTTAGAAGTTAGAAGTCCTATCCGTGTATCAGAAAATAACTAATCTGTATTAATCTAAATGCTAAGTTCATCTGATCATATAAATATTAGAGGAAAGATGCACTACAGAGGACGCCAGGTTCATGACCTTTTATCATTTATATAAAAATGAAACATCTAAAAAAATCATTTCTTTTGTTGAATTTGATCAGTATGTTTCCAGAAAATTAAATCATTTAATAGGTAATATTCAAATTGTTGCCAGAAAAAGACTTTGAAAAAATGTTTGTTTGTACTTATGTAAAATGATGAACAGAGCACGATTCTGAAGTGAAAACGCAACGCTCTCCCTTCATTCCAAAATAATTGCCCTCCAAAGATCAAAAGGTTATATTCAACCTTTTTTGCACCAGAAAAGATGGGAATATTCATGATTTTCTTCACCATGTAAGCTTTACACATTGTTCCACTTTGCATCATTCTTTTTCCGCCCAAATTAATGTATTGTAGTATTATATTTTTAGTCAGAGCTGTTTTCTGGTAGTTTATTGTGCAACTGACAAATCTGAGGTTGCAATTTTACGTTAGTATGACTATTTCGCTCAAATAATACAATCGATTGGAATTCACGTTATTTTTCATATTTTGATTATGATTTCTTGGTAATTATCAAAAAAATGAAAATCTCCAAAACTATCAACGCCGTCAGGTTCGACCAAATTTATGCTGGTTTATGTTGAGGTGATGGTAACCTTTGCACCCCAAACGATTGTAATATTCCAGCGAAGCAGTCATACCAATGTAAATTTGCAACCTGAAATTTTTCAGTTGCACAATAAACTACTAAAAAACAGCTCCAACAATAAATACATATTTTTCTTCATGGAAAGAGATGAATTTGATGGAATAATACTGTCTCTTGATCTTTGGGGGCCGTAATTAAGATTGAAAGGGCAAAGAGCGCCACGCTTTTACTTTAGAATCGTGTTTTACGTTTAGTTCACACAAAAATTTTTATCAAAATCTTCCGCTGGCAACAATTAGAATATTTACCATATAATTTAGTGTCATACCAGTTCTTCCTCAAGTACGACTCCAGGCATTGTGAGCATTTCCCTATTGGGAAAATAGGTCCCGGGTATGGCAGTGGCACACGCAATAAGGCACTGCCTTGTCTTTTCGCTGGGGATCCAAGCGTCTCTCCGTCTGTCTGCTTCGGAACCTACTACTAACCTAGAACTGCTATAAGACTCTTCGCTGTTCGAGGAGAGGCCCAGATCGGATATGATTCCATTTGCCCCCGTATTCGAGGAGTTTCCTATCAAATCAAAAAATGCTGCTGTGGGATCTCTCGGTTGGGGTGCTGGTTCAGAAAATATTTTACATACTTCTGGCTCGTTTTTCGTATCACTTTTATGATTGTCGTCGATTTTTAAGCTGTTGATCTGACCTGCCGTTTCTGTGAGTACTTTAGCGAAATCTGTTTGGTCCTTTTTGGTTTCGTTTGTTGCGAAGTATTGACTAAGAGACGGAGAGGAATTTTCAGTCATTTTTGATATCTTATTAAAATCTCGGAGATGTGTCTTGTGGTGGTATGCTCATTATTATTATAAAATACTTTCAAATAAAAATGTTTGTTTGTTTAGGTTTTTAATTGACAAGTGACATTTGAAAAGTATGTGTTATGTGGGACTGTTCTTGAATTCATCGATGAGTCTATTGATTGGTCCAATCGAATCGTTAACGCCTTTCTATTGGTTGAAGCACTACCTTTCCAGTACGTTCCACCTTCGAGGCTAAAATGTCCGGAACGAAATTTTGAAAAAATGAATAGAATTAATGTATGGATTAAAAAAAATCTCTATCCATCAGTATCCATCACGACACAGTAGAATAAATATTAATTGAGATATGGAACTACGAAAACACATGACATCAAAACGGACAAAACTTTTGAAACGACCCAATACCTGTTTTATCAACGTTTCGAGGTAATCCTATTGGCTAGATCGATAATCGAAGTTGAATCGTGTAATATTTGTGTGAGATGAAGGATTTGGTGGCGAAGTTAGTCGTTGAAATACTCGCCTTCAACCTTTCGGAAAAACGAGCTTTCGTAATTAGTTATGAGGAACTGGATAAATTCTTGAGAATATAAAACTACACATAAATACCTACTGCTCTAAAATTTTCCCAGAAAAAGAATAACGCCGGCTGCCGCTGGTCGTCGAAAATCGATTGTGACTTGATCAAGATCGCGCTCAACTCGACTTGCGCTTTGCGATTGTTCTATATGCCGCGTCGCTATATACATTTGAATATTAGTTTGAATTCTCAGTAGAAGTGTTTGGTTGCATGGTCAATGTAGCAGTAGAATAAAGTTTAGTTTAATTTCACAATGTAGTCAATTATTGTCAAACCCACGGATAAAACGTAACAATACTTACACAATATTTTATATACTTCAAGTGAAATCATCCTCTGACATAGTGAATAACCATATAAATTTGATCGATTGACCAATTCTGAGTATAATTTTCCATTTCTTTGTTAGCGTTTTCGGATCTTATAGCAAGCTGTTCTTTTGGATTTCTGTAAAATAATATCACAAAAAATAGATGAGTTGAAGGGGTTATATCTTTAGGAGTGATTAATTTTTGGGAAAGAAAGTTTTTGGCTTTCTACTTCTCCATCTTGATACAAAAAAAGGATGAGGAAATCTTCCAAAGAAAGGAAGGAAGTAATCAATTTGAAAATAAGTAACTCTATATACATGGATGTGTAGATCATGCAAAGAAGTAACTTTCAGACACAAACTGAAAGAAAGTCCTCCTGAAACAGCTACTTTCATATAAACATTGAATTACACGAAAGAAAAAAATTCTTGTCTTGGAAGTGAGAGTCCACTTACAGTTCGAATTTCATTCATTTGGTATATTTTTGAGTTCTCTTCAATTGAAGATACCTCTACTGTCACTCTTTTTGAGTTTTCTTCATTTATGGTAACATTGTTAAGCCACTGGTAGCAGAGTGACTCAACCGGTCCATCCAGTCCTAATTCATGGGCAATTTTGCTGTCTATCATTGTTGTCGTAACTGCCTCGTCTAGTAGAGCAAAGGTAGAAATTTCTTTTTCAGATCCTCGAAGTTTCACGGGAATTATTCGAAGAAGGATTGTGGGGTTATCTTGTTGGAAAAAATGTATTTTTTCAACTTGACTTTCCGGTCTGAGATCTTCATTTGGGTTTGAACAAGAACTTGAGGCTTTGTTTTGTTTTTATGAAAAATAAAGATTATGTAATATGTTATTATGGAATTTTGGGCAATTTTCAATTCCACNAGTCGAAATAAACCAGGAATCAAACGTTTCAAGTCAATATCTTTATTTTATAACTTTTCAAATAATTGTCAATGTCAAAATCGTCTTTTTTCATAAACTAACCATGATCAATTATTTTAACATACTAAGTGAACTAAAGTGAACAAAATTAATTAAAAGCAACAACAGGTGTATTACATTAACTCACATTGGAGTTAGGCCGGGTACGTATTAAAAAATGTGAAAATAAACAGAGTGTTACATTTGAATTAAGGAAGTTGGTACCAACTTCCGGTATAACAGGAAGTACCATGCTAAAAAACATATATGTGCCATTCTTCAGGATATGAATCCTGTTATTTTCCAAAATACGGCTAACCGACGCTTAACGCGATGTACCCTGTAGGTATATATTATTTTACAGGTCGCAATGTGATTTCCAGAATTGTTTTGTGATTCGAGGTTTTTGTTCCATTTCTCGGAAATAATCCAAAACGTTGGTAGAACTGTTACAAGTCAGAACTTGATCTAAAGTTTATGTGGTTCAAGGATTATTTCGTAATAAAAATAACATTTAAAATAGTAATATATTTCTAAAATCATGAAAAATAGGAAATAGTTTCATTTCGTCTGGGACATAATTTCACGTCTCAAAAGTAGTTGACTTAGTAAAAACAGGTACTATAAATATTGAGTGTATAAATATTCATATAAATATCAAACAGAAAATACATTACACAACATTACAAGTAATATTTGTCAAAAACGTGGAAAATCTTAAAAAGTATTTGTCAAGGCTAGCAGTTGAGGCACTGTACACATATAAGAGAGCAAAAATTAAGTACTTTGGCCCGTGTCGACACTGTAAACACTATAAAAATCGCAATCTCCAGATCCGGAAGAAGGCGTAGATTGCGAGGATCTCACACTATAAAAACTAGATGTTTCAGAATTGGTGCGACTTCGATGAGTGCTTTGAAGTTCTGTCTCTAGGTCTTCGGGCTTAATCACGATCTCTGAACTAGATGGGCCAGGATTCCTAGTATCAGCAGGCGGCGACATAATTCCTAAATAAAAAATATGCTTTGAAATTGATTTAACTCAAAAATGCGTTCCAAAATTTGTGTCCTAAATATTATGCCTACTTGAGAGACATCTTTACTAATATTTCTAGTATTACCGGTGGTTTAATCAAAGTACAAGTAGAAGTAATCCAGGTAGTCAGTAGAGAGAAAGTGGTTGGGTTAAAATATTTTCATTGAAGGTACCCAAGACTTCCTCAAACATTATTTTGGAGGGTACATTCTTACGTAAATAGATCCAACTAAGTCGTGACGAATATGGACCAAAATTGAGTGACCAGGAAAAAGCTCAAGAGTCCTGGTCAAAATATTTGAGTTGGACAACTCCAAGATTGTGAACAAGTTCGTCGGTCAGTAAAAATCTACTTCTGAATGTACATTCTATGAACACTCATCGGCAACTTTGATCAACTCTAAGATTTGTCTTTACCCATACTACAAAACGCTAATAAATTGACCGTCAGAAAATGCTTGGATTTTTTTTCAAATGATAAAATTCTGGTCGAATGAAATACCGACATCTTCGAAGTGCAAAAATAAAATGAAATGCATAATATCTCTATCAATCCATAAGTTTTCACGAATTTCAGTAGCACATTTCTAGATATTTTCTCCCACATAACGTTTTGGAGATAAACTAAACGTTGCCGTCAACTTTCCATGGAAACGATTGGACGTGAGTAATCATGCAACAACAATAAGGCCACTTGATCTTTATGCAGTGTTGACTCACGGTGGAAGTACTGATAGTGGAAATCCAAAATAACTAATGATCACAACGAGCGTCTGAAATCAGTCGAGTAGATCACCTACAGACCAGTTTCTAGGTATTATCAACAGTGCAGGAAAGATCCGACCCAAACAGCAGTGTGTTTGGGACTCGATTAATTTCACTGCAGCCCTATACAGCATGTATGAAACCTTCGTCTAAAAGAGAGATATTATTAACTAGTAACAGTTCCATCTCGTGAACAAAGCCCCAAGCGTGGTAATTTTTTAGACGGAGGAGTGGTTGTTTTTTGGCAGGCATTCACCAGAACCTACTGTGTAGACATATTGGGAAGTTTGAATACGTCGTCCATCTACTATCCAGTAATTTCAAATATCAAACTTAGCGAAAACAGTGACGTACATAGATTTGTACAATAAATATCAATCAAGAATCCTTCTGTGACGCCACTGGATTTGAAATTCCAAATCTATGAAAAGAGTCCCCTTGTTACTCAATACAAACACACGCAAATTAATAAAAATCAGCGAGAAAATGTGACTTATTGATAGAAGAATAATATTTTTAGTAAATCTTTGACACTCCGTTATTTGGAAAAGAAGCAAGCTAGGACCACGTTCATATGAACTTTTTTCATAAAATATGACAAATAATCACCACCTGAAATAAATGACATCATTTGACATAAACCCTGTGTAAAGATTTGTGGATCGTCAGTGAACTGTCCGAATTTTTGTTGAACACCGTTTTTAATAGAAGACAGTCTGAAAAGGATAGGTGATCTTTTCATCTCTTCATTGTCTCGTACTGTCACAACTGTCAACTGTCACATAGGATAAATATGGCCTATGCTCTTGAAGCTGTTGACCATATTCATAGACTTGTCTGGATGAGGGTTTACTGTGTATACGTGGCGGTGACGTGCTGCTAATTCTGTATTTAAGTGATTCTTATTTGACTGAGCACAATCTCATATGAAGTAAACGTTCTAAAAAACCTTCCGTTGAATAAAAATTGAATATGCGATGCGATGGAATCGACCGTACTTGATGAAAATCCATAACGTATTCAAGAAACACTTTTGTGAGATTTCCACTGGATAGTTTATAAAATCACAACACGTGTTTCACTGTACAATAACTTACTCAAGTACTTTTATACTTAGTAAAATTTAGTAGGTATGTTAGTAGTTAGTAGAGATACCCATATACATTTTATATTACGTTGTGTTAGTTTGAAGGATGCCAGTAGGAACCCAGAAGGTAGATATTGGAGGGAAGACAATTTGGATACCTTCGACATATTCGGCATCTCCCCTTAAAGATTCCGCATCACCGCGAATAGTAATTACTGAAACACTTCTAGGCCGGTGTTGTCCTTCCTCAGTCCTTATGTCTTCTGAATCAGAAAAATATAGCAGAGTACTTGTGAGAGATTCGGAAATGCTATCTTCTCGTGATTGTGAAGATTCTGGACCAATGTTTGAATCATTTTGTAACCCTGTCTCTTGAACTGTTGTGTCCTCCGAATCACTCGGATTATTTCGC